AGGCATGGCTTAGCAGAATAGAGGGAATGCAGATAAATAGTCCCTTAAAACTAATATTAAACTAAACTAATATTAAACTAATATTCTTGCACATTATACTAATTTCAAATGTCCTCATAAGACGAAGAATTCTAATTGGAAAATGATGCTTTTTCCTTGCATCCTGCTCAACCATCAATGAACTGAAGCAAAACTATTTACAATGGTGTGTTGAGTTCGCTTATGAAATAGTAAAGATAAAAGGAAATCACACCAAGGCTAGAAATCTGGCATCAAATAGGAAATACTGGAAATAAACATTGTGTGGTTTGGTATCTGAAAGAGAAACACAGGATGATGTTTTGGATTTGATCCTTCATTTGAAATGAGAAAGTATCACTGTCGAAATGTTGACCAATTTTCCTTTGTGAAGTACTTTCTAGATTGATGGCACATTTCAGAACATTCTCCAAATATAGCACCGTGGATAATAAATCTGAAAATCATATCCTGCTTTTCAGAATACTTGCGCTGCAAAAAATCTAATGAAAGGAGTAGAAAGCACCCAGAACTATTTGAGAGATCCCTGTGGCAAGTTTTGCATATTTCACATAGTTCAGAGCTTAAGTTATTACATTTTGAGATCTAGGGAAGCAAAAAAAAGCTGAGTGAAAGCAGAAATTGGCTAACCCAATTGCTGAAACCTGGAGTAGTTGCTCATCAACTACTCTATATCCATTAGCACATCATTCGTCTACAAATACGCAGTCGCTGGCCGTTACAGAAAACCTGTGAAGTGCTGTGAGGTGTTTCAAAGCGTTAAGGTGCTAAATCAATAGCAACCTGGTCAGGAATTCACTCCATTAGGGTTCCATCACAGAGTGCTGAATCCTGCTCCAAACTATTAGTCAGTCTTTTATTATAATAATTATATAAATGCAATTTGTTATTAATCCTTGCTTATTTCATGTCATGTCTTATTACATCATTGAAACGTGGACTGAGTATGAATTGGTGAGCGGATTTTCTCCTATAGTGAGATGTAGAAATCAGTCTTCATATAGGACCACAGGCAGGTACCTATTTTGACACCTTATTTTTAACAAGCAGCTAAATAATTTGTCCAGATATTTCCTAAGGTGCAGAAACCACACCAATCTCAAATGTTCATGTTTACGCCATTGGATCAGACCCGTGTAGTCTTGCAATTTTTTCCAGGTAACCCTAGAAGCAATCTTTCTTAACGAATGTATCATTAGAAACCTTCGAATCAAAGTCTTCTGTAGAAGATGAAGACTGAGCACCCATACCGATTCTCTCAGTGCTCTTCCCTTGAGAATTAATTGCAGAATTCTATTCATGCAAAATGTATTCATACATTATTTATGAATGCTTTCTGATTCTTGAAATTTCAATAAATTATAATTAAATATTTTCTGCGATACAATAACCTTGTGTCTTTATAAAATATGTATTTAAAAATGCAAAACATATTAAATATTACGAGCTATCAGTTCTTATGCTAATAGTGGCTGCCATGTGTACAATGGCAGTGCAAAAGTATTGAATCAATTTACAAATTCCAACATGGTTGTAATACTATCTTATACAGATAGTCCATCTTATACAGTACATTTAAGAACACATTCTTACATTCTTATCATAAGCTTCTTGCGACTTAGAATCTTCATATGCAACTTTTTGTGCTCATTAGGATGTGTGCTGGCTCAGGTATAAAACGTCATATTTTCAATGGCACTACTTTGGGTGTTGGAGCACAGCATTTATTGTGTTAGCTGATTGGAGTTAGTTTTTTCCCACTTTTATGTAAGGGCCTATCTTGTTGGATTCATATATTGCCTCAGGCAAAGCCTTCATTGGAACAGTTTGAGTTACTTAAAAGTGACTGAGGCTTTCAAGTGTGACAGGCTGTTGGATCTTGTTCAGTCTGGAAAGATCCACATTGACTACAGCATTGGCTCCATCTGTGAGGAACACAGCAGTCCTCAATTTCGGTACCAATTTAATTTTTTTCGGGCTCCAAACAAGCTCACTGTAGATCTGCAAAAGATCGTATGGTAATAAGGCATGATGTATGTAATAAAATTAGGTGATACTAATGATCCGTGGTTTTGACACATGGATGAAGGTGAATTCTTCAGCTCAAATATGATCTGGTGTTTAGGCGGTATCCCAGAAAAGGTTCAATGAGGAACTTGTGAGAGATAAACTGTCTTCTTGTTACTTGGCAACATTGTGAACTATGGTACCTTACTTTATGGTAGAATGTGAGTGATATTGATTTTCCTCTTTCAAAAATTTGATGCCCTCTTTTGCCTCTTGTAGTGTGAGATGGTTACAGTTTCAGGGGTCATACAACAGCAGAATCTCAGTTATGGATGCGTGAAGGATGTTGCTGCATTAATGATGTTGATCTCTGTATGCACAAATGCATCACACTTCTGATTAACCAGTGTATTGTACTTCCCAGCGAGGAGGTGAGAATGAAAATAACTAAACATTTTCAAACATAATTGGTCCTCTTAAATGTAGTTGTGTTTTAGTCATGTTTTTATTCATCTTACTGTCCATTGAAGCATTTATGCAGGAATTCCTGCGTATTCTCTTCCCTTGTGGTTTTTATAATCTGTCATTTTTTAAAAAATTCCATAATTTCCACCTTTTTCTGGATGCATGTGTACTAATTCTGAAATAGAGAACTGTAGAATTGTTCTTCCTGCAGCATACATTACTGCTCTATTTTGAGGTATTTCAGTGGAACCATTAACTTGACATTGTACATTTTATTCATTTGGCACACATACACGAACACTCCACTGCTTTGAGGAGCAGATCGTCTAATATATTTAACCATAATGCAAGGTGTGGTAGTGATGGCTGACCAAAGAACACACAATATCTGTCTCTGTATCCTGAACCTTGCAGCAACCTTTCATTAGATTGCTCTGGATTTGTTGGGACACAAATTCAGTGTTCTCAATTTTGGACATTTTCCAAAGCTTGTTACTGGATTTTATATTTGGATTTTGGCATGGTTCACTCGATTAGCCCCACTCAAACTGCGGACACATAGCGGCAGTGTCACTTTTCAGTGTAACGGAAGTAAGAAGCTTGGATTGCGCTTGGATATCAGCAAATACACTGAGGGTTGGCATCATTGAGCTTATGTCCAACCGAAATGAAAACCCTAACCCTAAGGTTACAGAAGGCATCCAGAGATTCCCTTGCAACAGATGCAAGGATTGTACAGCACTTAATGGGGCTTAGAAGCTTGTATAAGTTTGACACCCAAAAGGTAATAGAGCTGGCAGCTGTTGAACTGATTGTATCTTAAGTGACTCAACAGAGTTTTGATGCACAGACTGATGTAGTATTTCTGCAACTAACGAGACCAAAGCAGACTCGTCCTACAAATCCTCTGTTCCTAGCTGTCAGTTCGTATTGAAGGTGCCCCTGAGGGCAGAATTCAAATTGAAAGAATGAAAGAAAAATTGCATCTGTAAAGCCTGTTGTCCACCTTTAAAGACTAAAAAGCACTGCTGCCAATGCGAGAGTGTTTTCTGACATTTTTGGTCCATTAAGACGCTCATTTCCTGAAGGTTTGAAGATGGGTGATAACCAACTAAAGTGCACTGAACGAGCTTAGCTGATGCATGAAAGCCTAGAATGCCCCCTGAAGCAGTCGCTCTCCCATGTTTTACCAAATTATAAGCAGTCACCTGTCTGCATCTCAGTTGGAGATGAATACTGATCTGGAAAATATTAACTTGGGCACTGAGCTTCAAATTCTAGTATCTCATTGATCAAATACTGTATATAGATTCTGGAATTTGTTTTATTGTCAGCTTTGCTGCCAACAAAACGTCTGTTACTCTTTCCCTAAAAGAATGATAAACTATCATATTGATATCAGGAATAATTTAATTCTTGCACCGCACGCAGGGGGTGCCTCAAAGTGCTTTACAGGATTTTTTGTAAAATGTAGTGACTATATTTCCTGGGTGAATGCGGCAGCCAATTTGTGCACAGCAATGTCCCACAAACAGCCATGAAGTTTCATCTATGACAGTTGAAGGAAATTATTCTGACTCTGCTTTCAGATCACCTCAGTCTGGCTCAGTTGGGACTTTGAACATGTATAATCCAGGCTCACAATCCATTGCTGTGCTGGGGTATACTACATTGTAGGAGATGCCAGGCTCCAGATGAGATGTTAAACCAAGATTCTCTCTGCCCATTCAGGTGGATGTTGAAAATCCAATGGTAACAATCAAAAAGCTTATCCTGATGAAAAACAATCCTGTAGATAAAATTGGTCATTCACTTCATGGCTGCTTGTGGCACGCTGCTGTTCGCAAAATTGGCTGCCATATTCCCCTACAAAACCTATAATCACTAACCTTTACTGTAAATCCTGCGAAGGACTTGGAGACGTCCTCCCGACATGAAAGGTGCTATGTCAAATGCAAAAACACTGTGCAAATTCAGATTTTGAAGGTGTCAGCAGCAAAGTATTTTATGTGATTTATTAAAGGTACAATTTTCTTCCCAATTTGCAACATTGGGCTCCACTATCAGATAGCAGTGTGAAAGATTGAGTTTCTGAATTTTACGCTCAAATGTGCTTCATTCAAAAATGGCATAAAATGTGAATTAGGAAACCCATCAAAATTTGTCAAGCCAATATCCAGAACTAACTATTAGTGGCTGATAGTAGACTAACTGAATGGATATTTAATTACCAGTATGGATATATGTTTTGCTTTGATGCTACAAAGATTGCATGTCTTCAGGCTTAATGGGTAATGAACACAGGCAGCCTTGATGGAATAAGTTTTAGCAAACTGAAGAGAATTTAGGACAACTGATGCTGGAGGAAACTGGTCGGTGCCTAACTCGGATAAATCTGTTTTTCCGGTATTAACAACTGGAAGAATTTTTCACATTTTTCTTTCACTGATTTTTAAAAAAATAAATATAATTCTTTATTTCTTTACAAGATGCTCGCTGGCGAAGTGGCAGTCTTCTTCCTTCAATCAGCTTCTAAAGAGTTTGGAAACCGTGAGAAGACCATGGTTACTGGAGATTGCTGTTACATTAATCCGTTGGTGCGCAGGACATTTAGGTTCCTGGGTAAGAATCGCCTTTAAAAGTTGTATCTCGAAAAATATGCCTTTTATAAGCCTGTCATGTTTTAAATTCTGTTTCCGGCTTTACTTAACATGTCATTGCATTCTGCAAAAATAACAGATCCTCACAGATTTCTAAACGTTGAATATATGACCGGAAATGTTGACTGCTGAACATTTCTGAAATACAACATTTTGCATCTATATATGGCCTTCACATGGGACACAATATCTAAACATTTTATAGCGCTTCAATTAATCTGAAAGTCAATCAGTTAAATGTTTCAGTATTAATTGAGAATTGATTTTCTATGGTTACTGCGTTTAAAGATTAATTTAATATCTCTAAAGTTGACTGAAATATGCCCAGGTTATAATAGTATGATATGACAAGCAGATTGTACTCTGCCCAAAGTGCACACCATAGGGTATGAAATGACATTTATTGTGCACTTCATTGATATTTTCAATACACTATATTATAAACTGAAAAATAGGAATGGACTGTAGAATAGATACTGACAACAAAAGCTTATGAAAAACAAAAGCACAAGCCATAGCTCATGATCGTCATCTTTGATTGCTGACGTGGCGTTTGAATGGGAAAAGCAGGTTCTTTTTAGATTAAATATGCGATGTATTTTTAATTTGCATTTAAGGCTGAATTTATAATAATCTAAATATTAACTACCTATTTTAGGTTATAGGGTTAATCACTCACTATAGAACCTCAGCAATGCCTTCAATTTCACATCTAATCATATCAAATCATTTTCTCAGTCACAATTGAAACCCTTTCATTTTACCAATATAATGCTTAATGACTTTCACATCACATAATAGAGTTTTTAATTATTTAAAATTCAGCGTAGGTTTTTCAGTGTTAGGAATCAACTATGTAGATGTTGTGGTTGGAGATTGCTCTCCCATTAAAAAGGAATGGAAACACAAGAGGGGAATTAATGTAGACTTTGCAGTTTTCCCCATCCGCTTGTGTTCTGTTTTATTGTTGATGAAATAAGAAATTTGGTCGTAATACACTACCCCATCCAGGCAGAGTTTCCAAAGCATTGGCTTAATAATCTCAGTCCATAAATTGGTTTTAACATTAATAAATTAACAGCTTGAGAGAATCACTAAACTATTGAGAAAAGTTGTCAACATATTTCATGCTTCTCGGTAATTTGCTGATGTAATCTTAATAATATTATGCCCCATTTATACTGCTCGAAATGAAGCAATATTGCTTCCAGCACTAGAAATTAGGAGGGAAAGGCTGATTTAAGCTGTTTGTACTTAACTGTAACATCATGAAAAGTGTCATATATACAAAACACCAGAATGATTCTGTAGACTTCAACTTTTCAAGTACAGAACCTCCTTTGCAGATTTCAAAATATGCAATGTTTTATTGTGAATCATTTCTTTCAAAGTGGCATTTATTAAAGTGAAGCTCAAAATAGGTTTTGATTGACTGACAGTATTCATGCCCCTTTTCCGACCTGTATTCCTATAATTTTCCTCACATGCATACGATTCTCCGCGCTGCCTTACATTTACTCAGAGATAGCATTGAGATTGCAGGCTTCACTGTCATTATCATCATTAACACTTCATGACCATCTGGCTGTCTAGAGATAAATTTGCTGGTGCCACACCAGCTAGTGAAATCGCAATTAAGAGATCCACTCCCTAAACATGGAGAACTGACAAATCTGCCACGTGTCTGATGCTAAAATGCTAACAGGTTTTGAACATAAAATATATTGACAATTAGATGACAGTAATTCACTGTAAAACACTTTCAGCTGTTTTGACGTTGAGCATTTTCAAGTGTAGGGTTTCTTTGAAACCGAAAATGGTTTACTTCTCCAGTTTCCCCTTCCCGTTTCCTGAAGGCACTTCTCTTGTTTGGTACTGTGCTACTCACATTGCCAACCCTCTGACTTATTGCACGAGTTCCCATCTTTATCTGGGAGTCCAGACTGCTAAGTATCTGGAATCTTTCTGCTTGTATGGTATACCACAGGAAGCTTTGCAAATAGATTACATTTTGCTTTGGGGAAGAGTCCTCTCATTGAAGAGATTTCTTCAATGTGAAAATATCTTACACTTGAATGATTATCTTGAGATTTTAGTTCAAATGCTTCATTTCTTACCTAAAGTTCTATCTCTTTTCCTTCACAGGAGTTTATGCATTTGGACTTTTTGCCACTGATATTTTTGTAAACGCTGGGCAAGTGGTGACAGGAAATCTTGCTCCTCATTTTCTTGCAGTTTGTAAACCCAATTACACAGCTCTGGGATGCCAGCAGAATGCACAGTTCATCAACAGTGAAGAAGCATGCACCGGCAGCCTGGAACTCATCATCAAAGCCAGGAAAACTTTCCCATCCAAAGAGGCAGCGTTAAGTGTGTATGCAGCAGTATATCTGGCAGTAAGTCCATTTTTGAATCCCGTTATGCTCCCAATAATTTCCAAATCCAACGCAGAGCCTTTCAAAACAACAACAACAACAACAGTCAGGGATTTGGACTCGAGCAGGGGGACAGGATCAGCGAGGGTGGTTGGAGGGCAGGGGTAGGAGGGTGTCCGAATGCGCGGTCGAAGAGCATTGTGTGCACAAACTCAAGAGGTGACGAGCGGAAAAAAAACGGTTGCAAATAGTTTCAAACAGATTCAGTGGCAAAAAGATGGAACGTTGTGAGGTTAAAAATTTGGGATTTTTGCTAGTTGTATGGTACAATTCTGACCAGGTGGGGAAAATATTGTGCATACATGAACAGCACGTTTAGGAATATGAAGGCTGCTCTGCATATTCCCAAGATAATTTTTTAACACAATCGTATGTTATTACCACCAGTGAAATAGAAACGCCATTTTAGCCAGTTTAAGATGCATGGATCCAATTAAGTTTACACTGGATTTTGCAGTAATTCAAAGGCAGATTGCCACTGCACTGTAATGTTTAGCCCAAGACATTTACTATACTGAGACTTAAGGCAATATTTTTTCACGTTTTTCACTGCAAAATTAATCTATAAACATCACTGGTATAGTGTTACGAAGTATAATTAATGCTTTTTCAACATACTTCTTCAGCAAATGTTTGCAAGAGATTGAGTACATTCTGAATGTATTTATTAACGTTTGTATCTTTTAGATGTATATCACAAGTACTGTGAAAGCCAATGGGACAAGGCTAGCAAAGCCAGTCTTCTGTTTGGGCCTAATGTGTTTGGCATTTTTGACTGGAATAAACAGGGTGGCGGAATATCGAAATCACTGGTCAGATGTTGTGGCAGGATTCATCATAGGAACAGCCATTGGAGTATTTTTGGTAAGTTAAACTATTGCAGCAACAAAAGGGCTATCAATAGAATACAGAAGTGCAAAAGTTGTAACAATCCTTCAAAAGAGGAAATAATCAATCAATGATCAGTATTCGAAATATCCCACATTCATCATTTTCTGGTTTGACTATATTTTTACTTGCCATTTACCCTGCTCAAGATCCAACAACATACTTCAAATGAGCTCTGGATTAGGACTTATGTTTTATGCCTCTTATATTAAATCCCAGAATCCCATAAGACTTTGACTGCTTTCTGCATCTATGAACTAGCTATAATGATTCGTACTGATTCTCAATGAGCAGATCATACAGTACTTCAGTTTCTTAGTTACTTTATGTCCCTGAATGATGGATTCTATAATTTTCCCACTTTTGATGAAAAGTGAAAATATTGACTGGTAACATTTAGAGTTGTAATGCTTTGAAAATATTAATTAAAAACAAAGCTGAGATCAATATATAATGTATACGAATATTCAGTGCTGTGTATTCTTATCAAATGTAAATATTCCAATTTTTTTAAATCTGGGCAAATGAAATATCATTTAAGAAGCAACACAATTTTGCAATTTTACCAAAATGTGCAGTTACTTTCAGATATTACATTTATCAACCGATCTATGTTTACATTTGCAATGATTAATTTGACAAGGAAATATTTAAAATATACAGAACCATAAGCATTTTTAATTTATAGCGTTTGAAATAAGTTAAAATGTGATGTTTCTAATTTTGGTTCAAAAAATACTGAAGCCTTCAAAGGAATAACTCGGGCATGAAAGCTGGTGTAAAAAATAGGTCAGCCAAATTTTGTAGTAACTGGTAATATAGTAAATTCCTCACATCTGCACCCTGTACACATCAGTGGATTCTGAATGCAAACCCGACAGCTCTTTAGTACATGGGCTTTTCCTCAGCAATATTTTGCTCTTTCCATCCTCTCTCCATTTTCCTTTCTTGTGCTGTACTCCTTTGGATAAGATTATTATGTTTCGGTTCATCAGACGTAAGCTAAAAGGCACTGCTATTATTTGCTCCCCACCATCCATGTTTTCTATCCAGATTATATTAAGATAGCACAGCCTATAGCAAGAACGACTGCAGCATATCTATCTCTGTGCCAAAGCTCATAAGTAACACTGAGGATGCCTTAGGCTTCAAATGTGCGTGTGTGGCATTCCAGATGCATTTTGCACAGAAAGCATGACAGTGTTCATCTTGCAACCCATGTTTGATCTAAACCGATGTTAGATCTAAACAGTTTTGCAAATGCTCTGATAATTTTCAAGCAAAAAGAATAGACCATCAGAAAAATAAAAACGCACATTGATTTGGGAGCTAAACAATTAAACTCATCAAAGAATTCTGTTAAGAATTTGCCGCAGAGAGTAGGAAGCATTTTTAAAAAAAAAAAGATCCCTCGCAAGGCAATCAGATTTAAACGTGAACCAAAGTAACAGGCTTATGAGGTAAATGGTCTTCAAATGTATCACCAATAACTAGAATTTAAAAGTACCATGATGTAGTTGCCAAGGAGATGACATAAGATACATTCATTCCAGCTGAAATAGGTGGCAAGGAATTTCGGTCGATCAGAATGAGTAATTCCATGACTTTTGGCTGAATCAGGAAAGGGGGAAGGGCAACATCTGGGGCTGTTAAATTGCTGCAAAGCAGAAGGCAAATGATCCAGTATCAGATTTTCTTAACAGGTCTATGTTATTGTTAGTGTCATAGTGAAAAGCATTTATTCTCCCCACTAATTTCTTTACTCAAAGGTAACTGAGAAGATTTTTCTGAAAATAAGCCAGGTGCAGTTTGTTTGTTATTATTATTATTATTATTATTATTATTATTATTATTATTATTATTATTATTATTATTATTATTATTATTATTATCAGTAGCCAACATGAAGCAACAGTTATTGTCCTCTTTGTGGCTGTGAAGTAGACATGGACTGTATATGATGTATCACTGATTTACTTAGTGGTTAGAAGTGCATCGCTCATTAGGCTGATCTTGAATTGATCTATTGCCCATTCTTCACACACTCTGTCATACCCATAATGGCTGAGCTTTCAATCACTACGCCCACCCTTCTTTTGTAAAACCTCTGCTTTGCTTCCTCTCTCCTTGTCTTCAAAATCCTCTGAAAAAGATTTTCAATTATACTTTTGTTCCTCCCTAAATTTCTCTCCTCTCTGTTCAGTGCTATTATTAATTATTGAGCACATCAAGATGTCCATTCTATATCAAAGGCACAACGCAAGGTCAAATTGTTGTGAGTGAAGTTGTAGTGTGCAGTTGATTTTCTGAATTTTCATAAAAAAGTAATAATTTGGCTTCATTTAAGAGGCTAATAAAATGATGGCAAATGGTTCTTAATGATAAATTGGTGACAAGGATTAGAGAGAGTGATTCAAAAATATAAGGCAGTAAGCAGGGCAAATGGAAGGTTTGTGGATTGGGTGGATTTAGTTAGTGATCTATTAGTGTAACACATTAATATCAGACTCCTTTCCAAACACTTAAGTTGTATTAAGAATCAAATGTGTCATTTTCTCATGGGTTGGACAGTGCTAAAGTGTTGTTTAAAAGACCTTAATAACTGATGTACCATATCTTTGAATTTAATAGAGACCCATCAGTTATTCACATATTTTGACATGAAGAAAATTAATTCTAGAGAACACTTACTACCATTCGGATGCCAAGTTGACTGATTAACAGTCAGGCAACTGTATTTCTACTCAAGTTTATATTAATGATTCTTATAAAGCACTGCAAATTTAGACCTTATATGGAGAGCAAATTCATCCCTATAGGATTTTAGTGCCTAATTGTTTACATCCATCTAAATGTTCTACCCAACGTGGGGAAAAGCAAACAAATAGACTTGCAAACAAATAGACTATAGAAATATTTGATAACAAGTACCAGCCATATACTTTCTTAATTCCAGTATCCAAAGCAACAAAAAGGTTGTTGTGCTGTCCTAATTTCACGAGAAACCTTCATTTGGTACTTAATCATGACTTGAAGCTATAGCAAGACTCTGTAGGGATTGCAACATTACTTTTAATCAACATACTGTATTAATAAGAAGTGATGACACTCCTATGATTGAGATGTACTTTTGCATATCATCTATGCTGAACGTATTCATGGTTTTTGAAGTTAAGGTCTATTCTCAAAGGATCACAGAGCGAGCACCCAGAGCCTAATGAATTGAAGTGCTTTACATACCCAAATCTCACAGGACTGAACGTAATCTCTGCAACAAAACATTGAGTACCTATTTATTTGCGCAAGGAAGAAAGTGGGCTTCCTTAATTTCTTGCTGTATCTTTGCAAAAAAAACTGTTTATTTGTATAGTCTTGGCAACTTTAAGTGCACGGTTCAGTCGACACTTAACAAGAGCATCAATTGCTGTTCTATTATGTCTTTTTATTTTACATGTGGAAAGGTTTCATGTGTGGTACATAACTTTAAAGGAAGACATACAGTAAATGAAAAACTGCAGACTGACCACCTGGCCAACATGCCTTTGATCACTCTACCACACGTGGAAAGTCCTTTAGGAAAAATTAGTGCTGTACAGGTAAGTTAATAGACCCAAATCTTTTCAAAACGCAGTAAGATGGTTAATATTTGCTTTGTATTTTGAAAAAGACTGAGGTTTACACGTAACTGGAATTTGTTTGGTAAGATTTCTTCTTTTATGTTGGAACATAAGAACAGGAGTAGGCCATTCAGCCCTCAAGCCTGTTCCGCCATTCCATTAGAATGATCATGGCTGATCTGCACTTCAACTCCAATTTTCCACACACAATAGGAGTCTTTCCCACTGGTGATTAAATTGACAGAAGAAGCAGATATCATTGAAGAATCTGTCTTCTCCCAGCCATAGGCAGCAGCCCTAAGACATTTCAGAACAATGTCCTAAAACTTTAGGAAGTGTGAACAGTAGGCATAAAACTGCAAAATACTGAATACAAGCACGGAACTTGCAAAAATAAAATGCAAATTTATCAGAATTGGAGTCAACAAAAAAAGGTCACAACTTTCCTGAGCGGCAATCAAGAACTTCAATACATTAATTATTTGGAATGGGATACTAAGAGGTTTGGTGTCAATTCACATATAACATCAAACTAGGGTAATGGTAAATAATGAAGAGGATTGTAAAACTAAATCAGGAAGAGAGAGGCTTGCAGAATGGCAAGATAGATGGCAGATGACGTTTAATATAAAGAAATTCCTTTTCGGAGGAGGAATAAAGAATTTGCTTTATTTATCTCTGCTCCTCTACCCCCAGGTAGCAAGAACCTAAGAAGGGTAAAGAAGCAAAGAAATCTGGGGATTCAGATTGCCACCACTATAAAAGTAGCAGCATAAGTGGACAAGGCCATAAAAAAATGCAAATAGACCTTGGCTTTATGTCCAGAAGAATAGAGTAGAAAAGTAAGGAATTGTAATTTATATAAATTCTTGGTTAGTCCGTACTTGGGAGTATTGTATACAGTTCTGTAGCCACACTAATAGGAACTTCAAAACAAAATCAGAAAGTAAGAATAAATGGCACTCTCACAAGATAGTTGATATGGCTTAGGGACAATTGCTGAGTTATTCCTCTCCGCTCAATCAATGTGTGTACATTATTCAGTAGGAAGTACTAAACAGAGAAGCTAGTAGCTCTCCATGAAGTTGTTCTATATTAGATGAAGCATTAGGCATGTCAATGTAGTTAACATGCTATACATCTTGGTAGAATATTGATGGTCGAACACTTTATCAGGTGGGTTCCATTGCCATTTAATTATTTGAAGCACAGAAGAGTGTGAGCGACAGCTAGCTCAGCCCATGCAATGCCCTGAAAATTCCTACTGCTTCCCTCAGGATTGTGGAGTTAATTTTTTAGTAATAATCTTTAGCCGGTCTAATTTTGAAATACCTTTGCCTTTTTTCCTTCCTCTGACGCAGAGAACATTTCTATAATGCTCAATGAACCAATCTTAAAATAAAACGCCTACCTGTTTTACGCCAAATTGGGCCTCAAGGCAAAATTGCTAATACAGAGCTATTGCAGCTAAAATGCATGACATAAACAGCCAGAACTGCCCTCAGATCATTGGATCTCTTTTCCTAAATCCTGACAGAAGAAATTAGGGTAGGAAACACATTCTGCAGGTCGGGAAAGCTGCCAGCATGCTTCTTATAATGGGGAAGGTTGATAACTATACTGGCTAGTAGAAACAAATGTCTATATTTTATGTGATTTTCCTGAAGTGTAGGAGGCTTGGGGGAAAAAGATGAACATGGTGTACAATTTTCCTTGAGACCACATAAATGATCAATGAAAATCATGAAGTGTGGACAATTGTGGATCTCGTGGGCTCAGACTAATCATAGGTCAAGCCATAAAGCTGAGAATTCGATTATTTCCAGATTGTGGTGCACTACCAATGTGATATTCTGTGCTCTTTCTTCAAAGACTGACTTTGTTAAGGGACGAGCTGATTTTTGACTTGTTTACCCATTGATGAAGAAGAGATTATTTGATTATTAATAATAATAATTTTGTGTAGCGCTTTTCACGAAAACCTAAACATTTCGAAGTATTTTACAAAATACAAGAAGGGTAAAATAAAGACAGTGTGAGCTGAGGTGTTAAACCATATCTGAACTTGTTAGGTTTTTCTTTAGAAAATAGAATTATAAATAAAGAACAGAAAGAGGCTATTTCAGCCCATTGAATCTAAACTGCTGCTACATCATCCAACTCTTCTAAAACCCAATTGGAGAATACTAGTACTTAAGGTACTCGACAACAATATTAAGTGGTTCTTTAGTATCAGCCTTTGTGAGCTGATAAACTTAAAGAAAGTTCCCCATAAAGATGTGGAATTTCCTTCAACTTTATAGCAGTCTTAGGAATGTTTTTTTTCTCTTTTGCTAATATTCCCTTATTTTTTCTGAACTACAAAAATCACTGCAGATCCATTGTATTTTGCTTACATGAGTGTGATACTGACAAGTTCTCAACCACGTCCACAGGCCACGACAACAAGTTCTGCTGTACTCTTGAAAAGCTGCCATTTCAAATTTAAAAAATGGTTTCAGCAATTAACTTTCACGAGAAATATGTCTTTCTTTACATCGAATATGTGTTAAATAGACTGGACGCCATTTCTTGAAATAACCGTTCATAAAATAAATAAAAGTAGATGGATTTGTTTCTTTTCATCATTGAACCAGAAACTCTATTTCCATCACTGTTTTTGTGAAAACAGGAATATTCACACTGAATTTCAATTCTCCATCCATTAAGCATAACTGTATTAGAAATTGAAGTGGGATTGCTTCTTCAAAATGAAGTACATTTTAACCCACTTACTATGGAGGAATGAGCATTAAAGTCTTACTAGTATGAATGTGGCAGGGTGTTGCCAAGGCAGCAAAGTAATAACTCTGATCAGCTCTCCACATTTGATGAATTCCTGATCGCAAGCTGTACGATATGGAATTAAAATACAACTTGGAGAGATTATGAAAGCCACTTTTTAAAAAAATATTTACATCTAAAATATTACCTGGGATTGATGAATCCAAAATGAAAAGAAATTCAATGCTTACATATATTTTTTAGTTATATTATATATAATATAATTCAGTTGGCCACAAGATTAAAATAGCTGTTCACTTTGATCCAGTCAATGATATTAGCATGACAATTTACTCACAGCAGACATGAAGATTCAAAATCTCTTGAATTATTTTTGATTTAAGGTTGCAGACGTTCAGTTTGCATTCACGTGGCTCATCAAAATCGCATTTCTAAAAATATTGACCATCTTCAGTACCAAGATTATTTTAACAGATTTGTTTTGCTGAATGTTATACAAAAATAAATGAGCTACTTGCATATTTAAAACATTTGGAAAGTTTGCATAGATTATGTTAGCAATTGTCTTACTGGCAAGCTCCATCTGCATGGACTCGGATGGGATTTGTCAGTCCATGCTTTTGTTCAGCGTATTGTTCTTGGAACCGTGAGCACTGAGCAATGAAGTGCTTTATTTTGCTTTATTAGGTCACTGTATATTTTTTGTTGCAGTTACATAAAGACAAGGTAAAAGTTACAAAAAGTAGGTTTATTTTCAAAAGTTCAGTTTCGTAGTGCGATGTAAGGATAAGTGACAAATGAACATCTGTACATGCATTCATGTTGCATTGCTTTCTTTCGTTGCAGGATGTTTATCCAATCTATGCTTACAAAAGGTAAAAGAGTTATATGAATTTAGGTTCCAAAGGCATTATTAATAAAATACATTCAGATAATTATAGCAGTAGGATAATCAATGTAGCAGTAAGAGCGTGGTTCTATTGTATTTGTCAAATGTAAAAACAGCCAGAGTCAAAGTCTGTTTCAATTGCTGAATGCAACTTCAAGTATTATACCTGGAGGGATGCATTTTGCTTACCTAAATTCAGAAAGCATTAACCAGTGCCTAATATTTTCCGCTATTACGAGAGTGAGCATTTCATTCCAGGCAAGAGAAATCTCCACGTGCAAATAACATTCATGTGTGGCCTCTGCCTGGTTTGAATCTTCTTAAGCCTAGCAGTGGATTTTCATGTGTGTTAGACACATAGCAAACCAAACTAAAGTATTATACCAATCAAATAATGTTAAATCTGTGTGTGTTCATCCTCTTAAACCTAGTCAAAATGGATTTGCTCATCTTATCAATAAATGTAAAGCAGCTCCATTCATTTTCTGAATCCTTTATTGCACAGCTAATTGTTAGATGTGAGTAATTCAGAATAATTCAATTAGTCACCCATGCAGTCAGTTAACCCAAGTTATTTTTTTTTGACAAGTAAAACAACCATCCTAGAGAGGAAAGTAACAGGATATAATTAAAATGGGATATGAATATTTATCAACAACATTTAATCAGATCTTAAATATTTTCACTATTTTTCAAGAGTCAATTATGAAAAATGAACCTGTTTATAGGGCAGTTTTGTAAAAATACCTTTACACTGCATTCAAATGTAGTAAGCCAAGGGCAAAAACAATTGCTGGCCAACAGATACTCTGCATTTAATCATTCAAGAAATGGAAGAAAACAAGTCTTTTACATTCGTTTAACAAATGAAAACATTCAATTACCTTTAGAACAGTCTTAGCCAAACCTGATACATTCTGAAAATGTCCTAATGTGAGTCCTTGGTATCTCCCCCAACGCATTATAAAACATACTACTCCCACAGCCGTGCACCATCTTATTTATGACCTGACGTCTTGCTCTTTCTATCACAATTGAACAACACCTTATAGATTCTGCCTGAACCCCAAAGTTAATTGAGCTAAAACTTCAGAATATTCATTCCACTTCACTCCTCTACTGAAGCAAACAGTAACCTGATTAGCCGAGTATTTGTGACCAGTAACGATGGACCTGAGCTTGATCTTGTTTCTCACTTACAGAATCATGCCATCGCCTTTGCAGAAGTCACATGATCTTCAGCCAGAAGTCTGTTCGCCACGTTGGACATCTTCACTCTTTACGGTTCAATTGTCACATTTGGGATGAAATCCAAGAGCCAATTTCACTAAATAAGGCAAATTCACAGAACTGGTTGTTCCTTCACCACATAACAGTGATTTGATTTTGATGGTACACTGAACATTCCCAGTAATTTGAGCACATTGCACCATTTTGGAGGAATGGAAAGTAAACATTTGTCATTTTCTGCATTTAATACTGTTATTTGCATAGAGTGATGCTCAAATCATTTCTGATTATTGCTAAACCATGCAACACATAAACTGTTCCAGATTTTCAGGTGCAATTCAAGGTTTTTTTTTAGAAAAGACAAAAATATACAGGAACCTTTTTTGAAAGAAATGCCTATTTTGTATTCTTTGTGTTGCAAGAAATGAATATTTGTCAAGCAATACTGCATGAAAAGCAATGTGATTTATAAAATCCTTATTTTAGTCCTTACGTCCACCAGTAAATTTGAATTTATTACATTGAGTCTCTCCACAAAGGATATAGTTTAAGCAAAATGACATTTAATATTGAGATTGTATGGTACCTTTTCTAAATAATGTAAAATTCAGTGTATGAGTTGCTCCCCTATTTATTTTTTAATTTTGGAGCTGTCTCTCACCTATGCCACATGAGGCTGCAACACAGAATATATTAGATTTATTGTAATTATCTTTTTCACAAGAATAGTATGGGAATAAAAGATTTCTAGTTTTTTAAAACTGCAACATAATCATTTTACCCGGAAATGTTAACGCCCAAATTAATTTGGAAACCGCTATCTGGAAGACAAAAGAAAAGTAATATTGTAGTTAAATTAAAATACATGGTTAGTTTCAGTAATCTCAAAAAACATTCAGTCTAGTGTGAAGATAATAAACAGTTCCATTAAAACCCACGTCTGGTGAAATCTGTACATTTAGAAAAATGCTAAGAAGATGATCATCTTAAGAATCATCATGTTAGGCATTCCGGGGCTAATAATCCCTTCAAATTTGGTCACTCAACCCATGACGCTGCTGTGTGCAATTGGCTGCCGCATTTCACCCACAAAATATACAGTCGATTCTCTTTACAGTATATTCTGTGAAGCGCTTTGAGACGTCTCAACGATGTGATAAGGCGCTATATCAAACGCAAGGATTATTATTATTATTATCAATGAGAGCGTCACAATTAGTTTCAGCAGCTTGGATTCACACTCAACGATTGCTAGTTAGTAATCCAGCCAGAAATGGGTCGGTGTGTGATGCCTTGTGGTGATCCTCCCAAATTGCCCACTGAGGTGTGATATTGGGGGACTGTTGGGACCCGAAGATCTGCACTCAGCAAAAGTCATTCCCTTCTTGAAGGAAAGAAGAAAATGTTCCGAGAATTGGCAAACCAAGAGAGAAACCAACATGCAGCTAAACATACAGCCGCATTGCCATTTAAACCACAATTATCAATGTTTTTCTAAGCTTTAGAAAACTATGCTTTTAATATAATTTCATAAGAAATCGCATTGTAATAGGTTACTGGCGAAGTTGAAATATATACAGTATTCAAAATTATATATGTATTTAAGTTGCTTCTCAAAAGGTCAATATTATAATTTCACCGAATTTAACAAATTCTGCTGGAATTTGCTTATTTTTAATACGTTTTTATTTTCATTCTATAAATATTGTTATTACTCCATTTTTGTTTATATATGGCACATCTTAATGGCAATTTTGTAAAGGCCAAATGGAGGAATGGACCAATGGAAATAATGTCAAGGCAAAATAAATAGGTAACATTTTGGACAGTATTGTGCTTTCCAATAAGATGAAAGTAAAGGCAGGGATCCATACTGTACAAATTAATATTGCACGTGGACTGAGACTGTCTTGTAAAGTGCTGTTTCCCACAAAAATGACTATGTTAAGCATCATTTATGTTCCTTTGTATTAATGTCACAATCACAGATGTTGCCCGGTAATACATGAAGAGTAAACATTCTATGAATTTTGTAAAAATTTACTAATATTGTACAAAAGTTCTTTTTAAAAGATAACACAATTGTCACAATCTGTTTACAACCAAATGCATTTTCTTAGTCTTCTATATGTACAGACATGTGGCTTCTTTGACATTTTTGTTTCTCTGTGGTTCACTTTTTTCTGAGTTGCAAATATAATAGTTTGATAACAAAATAAGCCAACTATGTTTTACAGTTTAGTTATTCAATAGATATGTATATATGGATGGATGTTTAAAATATGTAAAAAAAAATACAGTATCTGTTTATTTAGATTGTATCTCCCTATACCTTAATTCTGATGCATTCCCTCTCTGGTAGTATGCAATAATTGAGCTATGATAACATGGCTTTCAGCTGTGCCATCTCTGCTGTCTTTTGAATGCACTGTTCAGCTGTTGTGTGTGAAACTGCAATGGTACATTTATATAGTGCTATTTTCCTGAAAGGTAAAACAAAATGCAATATTTAGCTATTAAATTAAATATAAACCTTCAGAATTAGTAATCACAGAACCACAGATATATTTTATGTTAATGCACATAACTTTGTTACATAAAACATTATACATTATAATGTAATATGAAATTGATTACACAGCAAGCCAGTGGGTTAATGCATGGAACAGATTAAATAAATCAGAATATAACTTCCAAAAGGCTATATGGAATACATTCAATTAAAGGATGCAGATTCTGTGCTTTTAAACTTCAACTAATACGGTTCTAATTTTTGGATGTTCCAATTCTCACAATGAAACCAACACTATTTATTTAAGTTACGTGGCAAATTTGAGACCAAAGTACTGTCCTTTTAAAAAGGAAAATGGAAGATTTTAATTCACTGTGTTAGTTGCTGGTTAACTATTTTATGATATTCATCATCAAACAGAAAAGTGCTCCAACAGAAATCTGACACTAAATAGCACGTAGAAGAAACAGATGTAATATAATCATAACACAATTTTTAAATGAGTCAAATGAAAGTAGATACAATTTGTGGAAAGCTGCTCTGTGTGGTTTGAAACATTTGATAGAAATGAAAAAACTGGACTTTAATGTACCTGATCTGGAGGTTTCTTTGTTTGATTTTGAAACGTTGCTGTCTCTTGGTTTTGATGGAAATTCATGAGGAACCACTGACAATCTGTTTTCGAAAGGGAATAATAAACAAACATGACTCTAATGGTAATGTGACATCTAATTGTTAATACCAGTGTACTCAGCAATTAAGAGGGAGCCAACTATCAATCATCTATAACTGCACAAAATGTAATTGTGGAGTGCAATGCATATACACAATCCCTTTTTTTTTGTTTTTTTGTATCTCTTAAATGGTTGTGACTTGTTTCAAACTACAAATCTTTACACAAATTTGGATTAACATACTGCAGAATGTGCATTCTTTTAAAAATGGTTACATTCATATTGCCATAAACAATTATTCTTTATAACCTAGTGTGTTTACCTGTCGTGCAATAAGCCTTCGCAGTCAAGATCGCTTTGCGCTTAGAATCTACATTTGTTTACTCAGACATTTTGTACACGTCTTTCAAAACTGCATTTCCAGCATTGATCAGAATCTGAGGAATATGTAGGAAAAAGATCTGTACATTTTTCATGTTCTCAGCATTCTTAGACAAGTCATCTAATGGTAGGAGAAAGGATCAATCAATAGACGTTTTGTTGAATACAACGCATTGCAGAAACAATATCATGGATAATTGAAGAAGCCATATAGATATTAGATATATTAGTCTAACACTGCAATTCAGGAATACAAAACACTCCAATTGCATTCAGTGAAAGATCACTTGTGATGAGCGGTTCAGGGTTTAGGATGAATATCAAGAAAATTGTTTTTCCACAGAGTTTGCTTCTGCTGTATCTGTCCATAATTCAGCCACAATCAGACGGATGGTTATCTTGCAACAAGCTGATTATAGAAACCCGAGCGTTTTGGATTTCCATTAGATTTGTTCTTTGAATAAACTTCGCTAAGTGTCAGTGGTGTAAACATATTTATCAGAGGCAACTTTACAAGAGCGTCTACATTTTTAACACTTGATATATCTGATGACTACTAAATTATGCAACAATGGTAAATCTGGTATCAGTTATCTGATTCCAGAATATTTTATTGTTGGTTTGTCTGTCTTATGGTCTCGTGGAGTCCTGTAGCTCAGTGGTTAGAGCACTCGCTTTGCAAGCAAAAGAACTGGGTTCGATTCCCGGCAGTGTGAAACCTTGGGCAAGTTTCCTTACTCCACACGCCTGACAATAATCCCTCAAAAAAAAAACAATAATAAAATGGTCATTTCAATCCAGGACTGTTTGTGGGACACTGCTGTGTGCAATTGGCTGCTGCATTTCCCCCACAAGTATACAATCAATTCACTTTACAGCATATTCTGTGAAGCGCTTTGAGACTTCTAGAAGACATGAAAAGCACTATATCAAATGCAAGGATTATTATTATTATTATTGTTATACAATCTGTATTGACATAACTTTTAACTTCCATTTATGTGACGTCCAGTCTTACATAAAGCTCTTTTTGACTATGTTTCATATTGCTCTGACATGAATAGATTTCTTCCCCACAAAACCTTTGATTGAAAATGGTATTCTATAGAGAATAAGCTCATTGCACTATTTTGCCATCAGTTTGTGAAGAACTGAGGAATTTACTTTTCATCATAATCTGAAGAATCTGCTTTGATGTCGATCTGTAGAAACATCTTCTATCTATAGTAACTGACATTACACTGATCACAAGAGTTACACATCGCTCAACGCAGCTGTATATGTACCTGTCTTCCACACCGGATCTTTCAAGTAATTCAAGATGGCAACAAAGCACTGTATAGATGTCACATTCTCTCCTCTTTAATTGGAGTAAAAAGCTCTGTTGTCCGTATCAATATATATTTATTCACTGAGTTGAACATGTGTTCGTCTGGTTAAAGGTTCAGTTTTATTATAAGAACTATGAACACATTTAGTTAAGCTTTGCTACAGTGGCAACTTTCAATTTCCTGGCTATTGAAAGGCTCTTAACTTCTCCAGCACACAATCCCTCAGCTTGAGTTATAGTATCCCTGGTTTAACCGCAACAAAATCATCTTTCAGATG